CGGCGGCCGCGGCGGCAGCGGCTTGCGCCGCCATGCCCGCCTGCAGCGACAGGAGCTGGGTGGCCATGGCATGGCTCAGCGCAGTCATGGACTGCGCCGGGCCACCCGCCGTCTGCTGCTGCTGCTGCTGCTGCAGCGCCGCGGCGCCGGCCAGCACACCCTGCAGCTGCTGCTGCTGGGAGGGCATCGCGCTGGGCGCCTGGCTGGGGGCCGGGGCGCCGCCGCCCGCCGCCTGCACCGCCGCGGCGAAGGCGCCGGGCCCGGCGCCGGCCGTGCCGCCCGAGGACCCGCGATCTCCGGGCGCCTGCCCCATCCCCGCCTGGTCCCCGCCGCGCAGGGCCCCGCCACTTTGCTGCGCCTGCGGCACGACCACCTGCTGCCGCTGCGCGGCCTGCGCCGCCTGCTGGTGCTGGCTCAGCACGGTGACCAGGGTGTCGAAGCGCGCCATCAGCACGGTGCGCTGCTGGGAGTAGGCCGCGTTGGCGGCGTCGATGGCGCTCTGCGCCTTGCCCCGCACCCGCTCCATGTAGCGCTGGTACTCGTCCTGGATGTTCTTCACCCGAATGTTCTGGATGCGGTCCAGCAGCGCCACCTGCTCCTGCAGCCCACGCAGGTTCTGCAGCAGCGCCTCCACCTCCGCGGGCAGCGCGCCGCCCGGCGAGTCCGGCGCCAGCATGGCGCCCAGCTGCTGCACCAGGTTGTTCCCCACGTCCAGCGGGCCAGCCGCCAGCGCGGCGGGGGCCAGGTCCGCCGCCAGGATTGCGTTGAGCTTGGCGGTGAAGCCGTCCAGGTCCGACATGGCCGCCAGCAGGCCGCCGGAGGAGGCCAGGCCGTGCCGCCCGCCGCCCTCGCGCTCGCCGTACTCCTGCGTGTGGAGCGAGGGTGTGTGGTTGGGTGGGGTGGGGAGGTAGAGTACAGCCAGAACGATGGTTTTTCCGGGGGAGAAGGGTGTGGATGGCACACAAGGAGCGTGCGGGCGCCCGGCCCGGGACAGCGATGGCCAGCACCCAAAACACCGGGCCCCCCATGACAAACCACTCACCTCCCCGCTGGGCATGCCGCCCTCCAGCGCCAGCTGCTGCACGCGCACGTGCATGGCGCGGTAGCTCACCAGGCTCTGCATGATGTACTCGAACACCTGGAGTGGCACGGAGATGGGTGTGGGGAGCGTGAGGATCAGACACTGGAGAGGGTTGCGTGCGAGCGAGCAGCCCGCCCGCTCGACACCCCGATGATCGTCTGCCCTTCAGGTCCAGACTTCCCGTCCGCTGCCTCCTGAACATCTCCTTCCCCTCCCCGCGTCCACG